ATACATTTATTTATGCTCGTTATATATAACTTGTTTATTCTCATTGTATTTTGCAGACCCTTCGACTTCTTCACAGCCCACCTCAGGTTTATTTGATATGATTTGTATTCACATTATTTAAATTTGCATTTGTTTATTACCATTGCATATTGTTTATTGTTATTGTATCTCGCAGGTCATGTTAGTTCTTCATCAACCTCGATTAGGCGTGGTAGAGGATGTGCCAAGGGCATTAAAGAGTGGGGTACTGGTAAAAAGCTGGATATACAATTTGATGCAAATTACTGCCCAATAGGAGATAACGCGGCCAAGTTAACTACTTAACTTGGTATTATTGTGCGGAATGGTAATATTGTTCCTCTTACTTTTCTTGACTGGAACAATGTGCCTGATGATATTGTTGATGCTATCTGGAAGGATGTGAAGGTAAAGTATATTTTTGTCCACCAATTCGAATTCCAAATTTGTGTTATACTTAGCCTTAAACTTTGAAATTGTGTTTTATAAGACAATTTGAATATATGTCCAGAGGAGTACAAGCCAATCTGCATGAAAAACTGCAACAGCATATGGAAGGATCACAAGAACAAGCTTAAGGCTAAGTATTTCAAGCCTAGAAGCTCTGATCCTAATCTGAAAGATGATGTTCCTATGAACGTTGTGCCAAGCCAGTGGGAACAACTTGTAGAGTATTGGCGTACTTCCGATGCTGAGGTATACAATTACGTTATATTTATGATATGTAAACATACAAATCATATTTACATACTTACATTTGTTGAACCTGTTATAGAAAATTGCAAGTAGGAACGCTAAAAATCGGTGAGCTCACGACATAGCTCATACCACAGGGCGTACTACTTTCTCTCAGATCCGGCATGAGGTTTACATTTTATTATTTTATTTTTGTATATAAATAAACATTGTATATTTGCAAATTATTTGGATTCTAATTTTCATATTTCTAAAAAAATATAGATGACCAGTAAGGGGGAGTCTACTGATAAGATGAATGTTTGGCTTATGACACGTAGCATTCTAAGTTAAGAGACTTGTGGGAGAAGACGGGACTAGTTAGAGTCAGATTTAGCACGAAACTTGGCACACACGACCACCTAGGCACGAGAGACTTGTGGGAGAAGACGGGGCTCGAATCGGGTTCCCAGTTTGGGAGTTAGAGTTGGATTTCACTTTGGGCAAACTAGTTCCATAAGAAACTTGAATTCAAGGAGTTAAGGCCCCAAAATCACCAAACAACATTGGTTTAGCACGAAACGTGGCACACACGACTGCCTAGGCAAGAGAGACTTGTGGGAGAAGACGGGGCTCGAATCGGGTTCCCGGTTTGGGAGTTAGAGCCGGATTTCACTTTAGGCAAACTAGTTCCTTAAGAAACTTGAATTCAAGAAGTTTGCACCCCAAAATCACCAAACGGCGTTGGTTTAGCTGGAAACTTGGCACGCACGACCGCCTAGGCACGGGAGACTTGTGGGAGAAGACGGGGCTCAAATCGGGTTCCCGGTTTGGGACTTAGAGCCGGATTTTACTTTGGGCAAACTAGTTCCTTAAGAAACTTGAATTCGATGTGTTAACGTCCCAAAATCACCAAACGGCGTCGGTTTAGCACGAAACTTGGCACACACGACCGCCTAAGCCCGAGAGACTTGTGGGAGAAGACGTCGCTCGAATCGGGTTCCCGGTTTGGGAGTTAGAGCCAGATTTCACTTTGGGCAAACGAGTTCCTTAAGAAACTTGAATTCGAGGAGTTAACGCCCCAAAATCACCAAACGGCGTCGGTTTAGCACGAAACTTGGCACACACGACCGCTTAGGCACGAGAGACTTGTGGGAGAAGACGGGGTTCGAATCGGGTTTCCGGTTTGGGAGTTAGAGCCAGATTTCACTTTAGACAAACTATTTCCTTAAGAAACTTGAATTCGAGGCGTTAATGTCCCCAAAATCACCAAATGGCGTCGGTTTAGCACGAAACTTGGCACACACGACCGCCTAGGCACGATAAACTTGTGGGAGAAGACGGGGCTCGAATCGGGTTCCCGGTTTGGGAGTTAGAGTCGGATTTCGGTCTAGTCAAAATTATTTACTAAACTATCTTTCTAATTATATAGTAGTCAATTTTTTTTATATTTTTCTGTAATTAAAATACTAACACCATTATATGGTTATTAATTATTTTTATCTTGTTTTTTTCAGATATTTTCTGAGTAGCAGTTTGCTTCTTGTGGAATGCGGGCATATAAAGATTATGACCAACTTTTGTTTTTGTAACCCACGAAAGAATCAAGATAAAAACTTTTGGTTTTGATTTTGATTTTGATTTATGTTATTTAAATTTGTGAACATCATTATGTATGTATTATGTGACATTATGTAGTGGCATAATTTTTATTGTTATGAATTTTTATTTATGTATTGTTATGAATGAAACAACATTATGAATTTTTATTAATTGTCAACTTTTGTTTATGTATGTATTTATATTATTATGTAATTTTTGGATTTTTTTTAGTTATTTTTCATTTAATACAGGTTATTTTAATTTTTTTAATAATTTCCCAACAGTTTTTTTTTTTTTTGAGACGGCATACCACCCGTCGCAAAAAAAATTGTATGAGGCTTTTGCGACGGCACCCATACTATCGCAAAAGCTATGGAATGTAATTGAAAAATAAACCTTTAGCGACGGTTCAGATTGCCGTCGCCAATAGTTATCAGCTATGACTCTTTTAGCGACGGTATTCTTGCCGTCTCAAAAAACCCATTTTAGCGACGGAAATACTGTACCGTCGCAAAAACTCAAATTTTCTTCACTTATTGGCGATAGAAAATTGCCGTCGCAAAAAAAGGCACTCTCCCATCGCAAAAAACAATGGCGACGGCACTTACCGTCAAAGCCCTTTTGCAACTCCCTTTGTCGCGACCCCCACTTGCCGTCGGAAAAAACCAAATTATCGTCGCAAAAAGTATTAGCGACGGCATATGGGGCATTTGCGACAGCGTTTTGCCGTTGCAAAAAACACTTTTTTTTTGTAGTGTGTGTTATATGTGTCAAGTGGGAGAATGTAAGAATATCCATAAAGTGGCCCATATGCCACATGTTTGTTTTATTTATTTATTTATATTATATATATTTAATTGGTTTAATGATTAATGGGTAACTACTATCCCATATAGTAGTTTCATGGGACTTTACAGCTTCCCTGATGGTGGGAAGTTATAAGGAGTTACACTTGGATATAGGTCCAAGCCTATTTATATATATGCCTGTGATAGTCATCAAAGACAGACGTTTTGTGAATAGAATGCCTATTTATATATATGCCTGTGATAGTCATCAAACACAGACGTTTTGTGAATAGAATAGGCTTGAAACTCTGTACCTTTCACTTTTCCCATAGAGTTCTGTAAAAGCGTTTTGTAAGTGGACTTCTTTATACATTTAAGATTTGATCACTTAAGGATTCAAAGACTTGAACATCATGACAGATCAAGAATTTAAAAGCTTAAACATCAAGACATAACATATCCTTCTTTTTAAATTAAAATTATTTTAATCCTCACAATATAACCTTGTTATCGGAATCAGAAACTGGAGATTTGCTGGGGAATGAGAGGCAAAACAAAAACAGAGGGTACAGAATCACATCAAAGGGGTTGCACCGTTTGGGGGAGTGTGAAAAGAAAAGCAATGGGGGCAATCAATAATGAAGGTGAACGTGGCAGGTCTGAACATGACCTTGTCGGTTGTTTCTACCTCCACTTCCTTCCCCCCACCCCCACCTTAAACCCCACCCTAATCTCATCCTTCTCCTAAGTTATTTTCCACTATAGATAAATATATATATATATATATATATTTACTCATTTTCAAAATAAATTTTACTATCTCTTCTTCTCTCATTATCTGCGACGACCACTCACCGCCACCAACTATTGTTGATGACACTCCGACCACCGTATGGTATATTTCAGTGATTGGACACCCACCTCATGACTTGCAGTAATGCTTATATCGATTCATCCTTTATTAACTCACTAGTTATGTATTTTTACTTTTGTGTTTAACATTTTTGTGTATGTCAAACAAGTTTATTTGATTTTTTTTTTGTAAATACAAAACAAAAAATTAGTAATATTATCAAATTAAACCTTCTATTTTAATTCATAATTTCTAAAAATGTTGCCTATTTTGATCCAAAAAAAAAATAATACTGCCTATCACCTTTGTTTTGTGGATAAAATTATGTTTGTAAAGCATATTTGCTTTTTATCTCCTTAAGCAGCACAAGCAACCAAGCTGTCTCTTGTTGGATATATACCCATAGTTGGCTTGGCTTGGCTTGTTGGTAGCACTGAAGCAGTTTTACCCCCATAAACCCCCCATCTCTCTCTCTCTCTCTCTCTCTCCCATCCATTACGCAATGCCATTAAAGCTGGTGATGCTGCTGAATCTGCAAATTAAGGTATAGTTATTGCCCATCTATGCTTCCATCTCATCTTCAAAACTTCCAACATTCATACTTGTTTTTCTTTCTTTATTCCACGGATTATTCTCTCTCTCTCTCTCTCTCTCTATATATATATATATATATATGTATATACGATTTAGCTTTCTATTTTTTACTATAAACTGTTGAATTTAGGAATTTAGTTTCTGGGTTTAGCATCAAAAAGCTGAATATTAGATGCTGAAAGTCTTTGCTTCTTTAAAATCTTTGCTACGAACAACAAACCCGTGATTTGAGAGAAATTTCAAAAATATTTAAGTATAGATTTGGAGATTCACTATTCTACTGTTCAAAGAAAATGGAATTGAAAGGCCAACAAGGCTCTTCAGCCTATAACCCTATCTTCCGAGAATCATCAGAAACCCTAGATCCTCCTCCTCCTCCTCCTCATCGACTTCAACAAAATCAATCAACGATCGCTCAAGGTGAGAGAATTGACCAGATATCAAGCAGATCGAGCTTGAAAACGGACGCATTACCAGAATCAATGACTACAAGCGGCGTTCGATATCGTGAGTGCCTGAAGAACCACGCCGCGAGCGTCGGCGGCAATGTCCTCGACGGTTGCGGAGAGTTCATGGTGAGCGGCGATGAAGGAACTCCGGGATCTCTCAAATGCGCCGCCTGTAACTGCCACCGGAACTTCCACCGGAAAGAGGTTCACGGCAGCGACACCGATTTTCAACGGAGTACGATGGTACATCCACTCCACCTCCCACTCCCTTCTCCTGCTCCTCCTCCGCCATTGCAATCTCCATCTCTTAAGCACCACCACAACCAGAGAATCAATCACTGGACTCCGATGGTTCCACCTGTGAAACTGAGCTTTGGAGGTACCGATTCTTCAAGTGAAGATCTCGATTTCAATGGCTTCAATTCAAATGCAGCGGCGCCGCCAACGGCACCTCCCCCTGCGCGGCCATTTGTGTTGTCGAAGAAGAGGTTTAGGACAAAATTCACGGAGGAGCAGAAGAAGGGGATGATGGAGTTTGCGGAGAGGGTGGGGTGGAGGATTCCCAAGGAAGATGATGAAGAGTTGCAGAGGTTTTGTCGGGAGGTGGGTGTGAAGAGACAGGTTCTCAAGGTTTGGATGCATAATAATAAGAATTTCACCAAGAAGCAACCTCAACGACAACAACTACAACAGCAAGAATCATCATAAACACCTTGAAAGTTTTTAAATTATATTCTGTTGTGTAAAATTTTTAATTATTTTCACTCAAAACTAGTCTTATTATCAGTCTCTTCTGCAAACATGAAAAAAGAGTAAGTTTATGGATTTATTTGAATAACATTATTTTTCTTTTTTTTTATTATATATATTTAAAAAAATAAAAAAAATGCCTTATCTTAACATGTACATTTTTTTATTATGTTCTAAGTTTCTAAGTTGATTTTGGGTTGGTTTGGCAAGGGTTCATTGGGCTTTTTTGGCTCAATGAGCCATAAAAGACAGAATAGGCTCAAGAGTCACGACAGACAAAACATCTCATCTAACCTCATAATCATTACACTCTTCTCTCATAAAAAAATCAAAAAAGCCAAAAGCCCTTCCCAAACTAAGCTTTTGAGCCTAGGCTCATATAGTCAAAAAAACTAAAAAGTCAAAAAGTCAACCCACTTCCCAAACAGAGGCAAAGTGAATAGTCTTTTATGTAATGAGATGTGTATTAGAGAAATGAGATGAAATAAGACTAGAAAGAGGAAGATCTTATAAGTAAAAAATTGATAAATAATTAAAAACATTTATCTTTTAGTTTTTTGGTAATTTTTTCATTATTTTATTTTGTAGTTTATTTAAGTTATTTTTAACTCATAAACTGTAAATAGAAATTGCATCTATTATTTTTACAAAATTTTTAAAATAATATAAATTATAAACAATTTCAATAAACTATACCAAACGAAGATTGTATAATACTTATTGCTCAATCTGTATCTTTTGTTAATTTCATGGTCGGTTGAGTTTTTTTCTTAGAATTTATAGGAATTTTTGTGCTTTAATCCTTTCAATTATCTCGAACTCCATACATTAAGCGAGGAACTGCAGGATTATTTTTTACTTGTTTTTCGTGTTTGAGCTTTTATTTGTTGCGTTTTCATGATGTGGTTTTTTCTTCTGTAAAAGTTATCAAGTTTCAAATTTCATAACATAAAAAAAGAACAAGTTTTAAAATTCAAAATTCATAAAGAAGGCCAACATAGAGGAGGCTTTTGGAAGTTAGTTAAAAGTTTGTTTTTAGTTTTTAATCTATTTTATATCCTATCATCTCTCACATTTTTTACATACAAAAAGATAAAAAAGTCAAAAAAACAAAAAAATTAATTTTTAATCAGCTTCCCAAATCACCCCAGAATATACGGCATGATTTTTTAAAGATGAAAAACACCACAAATTTTGTATAATGTGTGTAATTTATTTGGTGGTAGCTAGAATTTGAAAGTAAACATAGCGCTATTCTGAACATCATTTGCAATAAATAGAGTGATACTATATAAATAGAAATACCTATATTTATTTGGATTTAGATTGTGGTCCTTCTTTGAAAATGAATTACTGCAATTGCATATTTTGAAGGATAGTTATGGTTTTATGGACCCAGTTTATTTATTAAGGAAAATGTTTGGTAGCCACAAATTCTGTGGTTCAAATGGCTCGAAAATATCAAAACGACGTCGTTTTGACATTTTCGGAGTTGTTTTGTACCCAAAATGACATCATTTTGGCATTTTTGGGCCATTTGAGCCACAGAATTTGTGGCCACCAATCATTGCCGATTTATTAATAAGTCTTATTTTAATTTTTAATGATAAATTTTTCATTATAAAATATCTGTAAATAATTACAATTTAATTACGTCATATTTCAATACAAACTAATATGAGTAAATTGAAAATAAATGAAAGCTCATAAACAAAACTTAAAATATTCTAATTATTTATCATTTTGATAAATTTATCAGTATCATTAATAATGTCAAATGATCATTCCACAAACACAAAACATACATTTAAAAAATTTTAAAATATTTTATTATCAAAACGAAGGGTGAATATATATATATATATAAATTTACACATAATTTGTGAAAAAATAAGTTCAATCCATAGAACTTGGAGAGTGTTTAGAATGATCTAAATAAGTATATTTTTTGACTTTTTATGAAAATATATACAAAAAAATAGAGAGACAATGTGATTTAAAAAAATAAAAAGATAAAAAAGCGTGGTAATATAGGAGATGCCAAATAGTGCCTCTATTTTCAAAGTGTTTAATTATTTTTATTTAAATTATTAATTATTAATTTTGAAATCTCAGAATTTCTTGAAAAAAAATAAAATTACCTACGAAAGTTCCATTAAACATAAAGTGAGAAGTTTGTACATAGCAGTGTGCGCGGTGCGGTTCAGATAGTTTGAGAGTAAAATTATAAATCGAATGGCGGATTAACGTATCGACGGATTGGTAAATTGCGGTTTGAGCGGTTTTGAGCAGATTGATAGATTAAAGAATATTTTAACAAATTATCAAGTTTTTGCATAATATATATAACTTAAATAATATTTTTCATATATATAACAAAAACTAATTTTACATATATATAACTAATAATTTTTAATACATTTCACATATTAAATCTCTCTCGCATTTATTTTTAGGATTTTTTGAGTAAAAATGGTGTATGGTTAGGATTTTTTCATAAATTGTGCACGTTTGGGATTTAAATTGAGTATTATTGTGAAAATGATATGACTTTATAAAACTTCTACTCTGTTGGGTCTATCCCACATCGACTCAGGAGGGACTCCTCGTTTACCTTAAAAGAGTATTGGCCCCCTCTATCTGTCAACAGGCTTTTTCCCCTCTTCTAGGGAGAGGAACAAAACCGTGAAGGGGCAAGCTCTCAGTGGCCTAACCCCAAAGAGGACAATATGTTGACACACCGCGAGGGACCAGGTACGTGCATTGGCGCTAGAAGGAGGGCGTCCGGCAAACTCTCCCGCTGTTCGCGGCCCAGTCCACTAGGGGGTTATGTTGGGTCTATCCCAGATTGACTCGGGAGGGACTCCTCATCTACCTTATAAGCGTACTAGCCCCCTCCATCTATCAATAGGCTTTTTCCCCTCTTCCAGTGGGAGAAACAAAAACCGTGAGGGGGAAAGCTCTCAGTGGCCCAATCCCAAAGCGGACAATATGTTGACACACCGCGAGCTTGCCCCTTCACGGTTTTTGTTCCTCCCCCTGGAAGAAGGAAAAAGGCCTGTTGATAGATGGAGGGGGCCAATACGCTTATAAGGTAGACGAGGAGTCCCTCCCGAGTCGATGTGGGATAGACCCAACATAACTCCCCAGCGGACTGGGCCGCGAACAGCGGGAGAGTTTGCTGGACACCCACCTTCTAGCGCCAATGCACGTGCTTGGTCCCTCGCGGTGTGTCAACATATTGTCCGCTTTGGGGTTGGGCCGCTGAGAGCTTGCCCCCTCACGGTTTTTGTTCTTCCCCCTAGAAGAGGGGAAAAGGCCTGTTGACAGATGAAGGAGGCCAGTACGCTTATAAGGTAGACGAGGAGTCCTTCCCGAGTCGATGTGGGATAGACCCAACATAACCCCCCAGTGGACTGGGCCGCGAACAGTGGGAGAGTTTGCCGGACGCCCTCTTTCTAGCGCTAATGCACGTGCCTGGTCCCTCGCGGTGTGTCAACATATTGTCCGCTTTGGGGTTGGGCCGCTGAGAGCTTGCTCCCTCACGGTTTTGTTCCTCCCCCTAGAAGAGGGGAAAAGGCCTGTTGACAGATGGAGGGGGCCAGTACGCTTATAAGGTAGACGAGGAGTCCCTCCCGAGTCGATGTAGGATAGACCCAACATACTCTAATAAAAAATCTTCTATTTTGTATGTTTATATTATTTTCCCCGAGAGTTGTATTATATCTGATGATCGTTGGATATGGAGTTTTTATTTATTTATTGAATATTCTAAAAAAAAAAACAATTTAAAGAATTGATCTACTTTTCAAATTATTTGAAAAATTAACCCACTTTTAAAATCGCATTTTCAACATACAATTTGAACTTGAAATCGCATGTTCAAAATACAATTTGTCGTATGAAATATTTTCTTCTTTACATATAATCAATTTTTTTCTTTATTTATGAAAATATTTTATTTAGTTATGACTTATAAAATATTTTATTATATCTTACATAGTATTTATTTATAGTGTTTCCTTATGTATATATATTGAAAAATTGCACTTATAAGTTTTCAAAAAAATTTGCAAATTAGTGATTTTTTTTATATCAATTTTAATAATCAAAATTATAATTTTTTTCATAAATCTATATAATAAGGGAGAAGGATTTTTGAAAATGTCTAATTTATCTTAGAGATACATTTTGATCCAATGGTTTAAATTGTCTTATCTCAACTTCAATGATTAAGATGTCTTTATTTCCCGCCCAAATGCTCTTCGAGCATAAACCAAGATCTAACGGTCCAAAATGTAAATTGAAGAAAATCTCTCTCTCCCCTCTCCATCACAGATTCATAGGTACTCATCTCCTCTCTCTCTCTCTGATTTCAATTTTTGAAATCTCTTTCTCTCTCTTTCTCTACCTGTATTGGAGCCCATCCCGTGCGACGACCACTGACCATTGCGACGCCACGACCACCGACCACCTCTCCTCTGTGTGTCATCCTCTCTCGATGACACCACCGACCACCTTCTCTCCTCTCACCCCCCTCTTTCATCTCCTCTGTTTTCATTTTTGAAATTGATTTTGAATCTGGATATTTTCATATATGAACAACGTTATTGAATCTGTTTGGTTGGGTTGATTTTGAATCTGTACAGTTGATTAGCCTACTGCTAATATTGTCATAATGTTTGATTTCAGGATAGCGGGAGCTCGACAAACTATAATGGGGTTTCGTCTACTGGATTTGATGAAAAGCCATATGGTTCCTTGATCTGCTCGAATTAGCTGGCTTCTTTGTAATACTTCTGCAAGTGTTCCTTATAGACATATGTTTTGATGCTTATTCAATCTATTTCCTGCAATATAAAAAACCTTGTAATTTTTGAGTTAAAAGTTGCATTATTTGTGCTAGGAAAAAAAATTAGGCAAAGAGTACATTGTAACTACTATATTCGACAGAATTGAAATTGCACTTGCTGAAATTACAAATCTACTAACTAAATCTCATGTTCCAATCATTGGTTTTGGTAGCAGTCAGCCTTAGTGACTCCTTTGTAAACTTAACTCTTTTGGTGCCCTTTGCCAGTTTATTCCTTCATTGAGCAGAGCAGCAATGTGGCAGGACTGCCCTATTTTTTTGATTGCCTTAATTAGTACTTCTTCCCACTTAAAAAAGAAACTCCTGTCTGGTTCTTTCTGTAGAAGGTGCTAAATAGTGGCTTAGTTTTCGATGTTGGGTTTCTAATTAATTTCTGTCATGGATTGTTGGAATCTATATATCTGCTCATTACAAATTTTCGCATTTTATATGTTTTTATAGGAAATTGAAATAATTTACTCCATGCCTCTTAGAGATATAATTATGCATTCAATCTTTGGTTTGATCCCTCATTTACATAATATATCTATATAATAAGGGAGAAGGGTTTTTGAAAATAATGTTGAGAAGGGTTTTTGAAAATAATGTTAGAATCTATATTTACATAATATATCTCTCCCCTCTCCATCATAGGTACTCATCTCCTCTCTCTCTGATTTCAATTTTTGAACTCTCTCTCTCTCTCTCTCTCTCTCTACCTGCATCGGAGCCTATCCCGTGCGACGACCACCGACTATCGCGACGCTGACGACCACCGACCACCTCCTCTCCTCTCACCCTCCTCTTTTGTCTCTCTCTCCTTGCAAGGTAAACTAGAACTTCCAACTTTTGCAATTCATGATGTTTTTGTGGGTTTGGTTGTAAAGTTGCAATTCATGATATTTTTTTGCTTGAATCTGAATATTTTTGTGGGTTTCTAAAGTTGAATCTAGATATTTTTGTTGAATCTGGATATTTCTGACATGTGGGTGTTTGGTTGGGTTGATTTTGAAATGAGAAATGAGTTTTCATTTTTGAAATGGATTTTGAATCTGGATATTTTCATTTTTAAAAAGTTTTGGGTCTGAAATGGGTTTCACTTGATAGATATACATGTATAGTCCAGTGTATAAAATTGATAAAGGGTTAGAGATGTTCTTAGTAAAATGTTTAAGACCCTAAAATGTTTTCTCTAAATTTACTACATAGCAGGGGTTGGGTCTTGGTTGATTCCAAAACTAATCAACAACAGCATATAATAGCACACATCATTGGGAGTATATTTAGGAGTATCCAATGCTACTCAATAAATACTTACCATATCTAAGTATGTAGAGATGTTCAAAGTAATTGGAGAAATGATTTGTTTAGATTGTATGATGCATTTGAATCCAAAGAATGTCAAATTAAAGGGAAAATTTCCAATAAGTCTTACTTTCTCAACATAGTACTAATATGATTGAAGGGGAAATTCTATGGGGAAAATAGGATTTAACTGGTCAAAATTAAACTGTTTTGATGTATGTTTTCCTGTTCTTGATTATCAGGTTATCCTTTATGTTTACTTAACTTTCATTAGCTGTTAATGGAGGCAGTTATATTGAATTTATTGACAGTATATTCTGTGTCATTTAGCCGGTTCATGTATAGTCCAGTGTATAAATTGTTTTCTTCTCAGGTTCATGAAACCCCATATTTCACCTCCTCTCATTTCATATATATCTATTGGGTTATAATTTCTACTGGGTTTTGTTTGTTTTGATGTTTTTGTGAAGTTTAATGGAATTAACTGTTCTGTTTTCATATCCCTATTATATAAAAAATGGGTATAGGCTGACATGAGAAACTTTTGTAGTGGAGAATAAACACAAGATATTTGTAATGGGTTTGTCTTCAATTGATTGATGTTTGGTCCTTTCACTTTCTTTTTCTCTCTCTATCTTTTTGAGGAACATGTATGTGTGTTTAGCTAATATTTGTTTAGGTTCAGGAATTTGCTTACATTAATTATAAGTTTGATTGAATTAGCTGGAAATTCTACTAGGTAGTTTCAATTATATTCTTAGCAATAAAATTTGATGTTATCTGCCACTTTAACAACAAATTTAGTACATCACTAAATTTGTCTTTCTTGGGTTAATAAAAATCCCGGTGGTATAATTCCAAAGGGAATGGTTACCTTATGCATATGATTTTTTGCTTCTTTTTTTTTTCTATAATTTAAAAAAAAAAAATTCTATTAGTAGCCATGCCTATGAGCTTTATATCTTAATAAATACTACTCAATAATCATTTTTGGCACTTCAATTTCCCATGTGATTGAATTGTGGAGGTGCTAATACGACATTTTTTCTTTTCTTTTCTTTTCTTTTCTTTTATTTTTTCCCTCTCCTGTAAGTACATTGCTTAAGATTGGCATAGTTATGCTTATGTTTCTTTTTAAAAGATATATTTATGAAAATGTCTATGTTACGGATGTGTTGTATAATCTTCGTAAGTGTGTTTGAATCGTGAATTTTGATAGGATTACGAAAAGATAGAGGAAAAGAATGAGTGAAATGTGAATGAAATATAAACTAAATTATTTCTCTATTTTTCTTTCCCTTTCCAAATCTCTATCCAAATTCATGATTCAAACACAGCGTTAGCATTAAAAGAAAGTAAGAATGCAATTCCAAGCCTGATAAAATATTCAAATGAATGCTATCTTTTGTTGTCTATTTTGACATATGTAAGTCGTGGGTATTGCACTTTAATTCCATTTGTTGAACAAAAATATTTCAAGTAGCTCATAATGCTTTGAGTTTTATAGGTGAATGAAATTGCTATTCAAGCCTCTCCATCTTGGTATGTGCAAGATTTGGGTATGAATCGGTCACCAACACTATGGCGCTCTAATTTTGACTATTCAAGCCTCTTCATCATGGTATGTACAACATTAGTTCTATGCGACGCATCAATGGTGTACCACACATTAAAGTAGGTGGTCATTCTAATAAAATTTTCCGTTTTCTCCAAGTGATAGGTGTTTAAAACAATTTCAGTCTCATATTCAAGTTCGGAAAGTCTCGAATCTCTTCTTCTATAGCGTTTCACTTTAATTTTTCTTTTTATTTTTTGAGATTGCAGAGCACTAGTTGGTGTGCATTGCTTATTATTTATTTTAAATTTATTTTTTTGATATTGCAGAGCACTAGCTGATGTGCATTGTTTGTTATTTAATTTTGAATTCTATTTTCTGGATTGCATAGCACTGACCGGTGTGCTTCATTTGGTGTTTGGTAATTTTTTTTTATTTATTGTAAAGTATTGATATATGTACAATAGCTTTGGCTGGTATTATTTGGTAACGAATGAATAATGAAAACGGAATATTTTTTATTAAACAATAAATATATATACCTGTGCCTAGGGGTTGCTATTTTTAATTGTGTTCTGTAGCATGTGTGATACCAGGAAAATTGTTGGAAGTGTTTTAAAAACAATATATATACCCGTGCCTAGGGGTTGTTATTTCTCAATGTCTTAGTTTTTGGTATGTTTTTCGATAAATTACATTTGTATTCAACTACATTTTGATCTCAATAATTATTTACATCGTGTCTTTAGGGACGAGCATACCTTTTATTCTTCTATTTTCCCACTTCTCCTCTCATTATGAAAATCATTTAACACTAAGGTAAATGATGGGAAGTGATCATTGTTTTGAGGATTGCAAAAAGTCCTGAATTTATGGAAACTTTGACATATAATTAAGATTGCAAAATTAATACTTTTTCATAACTTGCTATTTCATGTAATGAATTCTTTGTCCTTATTTTTGTTTGTTTGTTTGTTTGTGTAGTATTAGATAATTTGATAAGCATGACGGCATTGAATTAGCTAGAAATCAAGTAAAACTTCATGATTTCTAGGAAAGCCCTGAAGATCTAAAGAGGTATTGTGAAATTCATCCGCCGAAGACCTTGACTAGATTAAGTTGCTTTTGTTTATTAAACTCTATCTTTCATTATGTATGTGTTTGGGTTTTTTTTTTTTTTTTTTGGGGTTTGTGTTCTATTTCTTTTTTATTTTCCTTTTTTTGTGTTTTTTGTGTTTTTTTTCCTGTGCATTGTTGCCAATAAAATCTCACATTGTTGTGTTCAAAATACCACTTGAAATTTTGTTGAATGCTTCTTGAGGACTTTTTCTACAAATTAGTTTGGCCCCTCTTCATCTCCTCATTTCTCTCTAAACTTGAGAATTTCATTCTGGTTATTTTGCCTAATTTGGTACAGTCAAGCTTTTTTATTTTGTATCTTTGTGCATACACCATGTTCTGTAAAATGCCTCAATTAAAATAGTTTATTTTCTTTTGGTTAAACCAGTTACTTATATAATTCAACTTTTTTGTTGGTCAAATAGTGAATGAATCTATCATAACAAGCCAAGTAAATGATTAAACAACCTTTCCTATAGAGAATTTGATCACGACAAGCCAACTTTTGACACTATGGCTGCTCTACACTATGCATTTTGGTTGAAGATGGTTGTGCTTCTTCTTCTTTCTTCTTTTTCTTCTTCTTCTTTTTTTTTTTTTTTTAATATTTGGGTCTGTTAAGTAGGTTTATGGTTTAGAGGTTTTTGTTCTTATATAGGTAGGTTTTGAAGGAATGATCCCCAGCTGCTTTTGACATAGTCTAATTTTCATTCTATAGTGGTAGCAGCTAGGCGATTTTTGTTTTGAAGTTTAGGATTGGGTATTGTTTAGAGGGATGCATCCTCCTTGGTTACGAACCAAACCATGCACAAACAAAAAATGTATAATAATCTTGCATGGGTGATTTAAGGATAGTTCAAACCCCAAAAGACAATCAATTAGATGTTTAAATTACAAGATTATTGCAGAGAATGATATGATTGGTGGTTGGAATTTGAAGGGGTAAGATGAAAATAGCAAAGATACACAGAAGAGGAGATTGAGAGATTACAAATATGACAGTTGAAATGTTTGCATAGAAGAAGGCAAAGGGTGAGGTGAGAGATGGACACACACAGATGGACATGAGTGATGACCTATCACTACTGATTGTCCTATATATGATGCAAAGGACTCCCAGATTGGGGACACACTAATAGACCTTCTTGAGGTTTCTTTAGCTTTACCATTCTATGTCAATAACTCAAATTTTTTTTTTAATGTTTTTTAATTTCCCAACAGTGGCTTCAAGACCCATCGTTCAACACCAACACAGAGGTATTTTACATTGTCTCTTGAATTTCCCTTTCTCTGCTCTTGATCACTGTTGTTGGTTGATTATGTTGTTTGGATTTGTTGTTTGAATTCTGAATCCTGAAGGATTTGCTGTTTGGATTTGTTGGTTGATAATATTTTGTATTACTTTTCAGATTTCATGTACAGCACACAGTGCTTCCCTTTTGCAGACTTTTTTTAGTATTGTTGCACTTCTATATATAGTGGTAAAGAGTGAGTGACACAGAAATTGATCCTAGTAGTGACATGCTGGTGAATATGGGTCTGTTTGCCTCTATAGGAATCTAATTGCTGCTTGCTACTTTATTGTTGCTGCTGCTGAAATAGCAGGCTAGGACAGTGGCTGTTTGTTCCTTCTGTGGGATGTTCTGTTAGCTGTTTATATGTTATGTGATGTGAAACGTAAACATGGGCTGGTTTGGAATTTTACCTTATGGAGAGTTTTAAAAAAAAATGAGAAAGAAAGAGTGGGCTGGTAGATTTAGGACTAGTTTGGCATGTACTAAATAAGTCAAAAAGTCAAAAAGTCACTATCTTATTTAAGCCACATCATCTTATTTAAATCACATCACCTCTCTAACACATCACATCAAACCCAACCCAAACCCAACCCAAACCCACCAACAAGTCAAAAAGTGCACTTTTTTAGGACATCCCAAACCAACCCTTAGAATAAGGGGGACGTAGAGAGTTAGACATGAGAAAAAAGTAGTGTATAGTGAGTGAGTAAGATAGGGTGCGGTAACATGTGAGAATATGGTTTTATTTTCTGCTGAAGCTAATTTTGATGCTTTGTGTTGGCTGTTGCAATAGTGTAACCTTATGTTGATGATACTTACGAGTTCTATTTGTGTTGCTATGCCCGTAGGTCACTTAAAAGTAGTCCTCAATAGGGTTGTGTTGGTATTGGTAAAATTTTGGTTTGTGTGCACTTCCATGTTCGAAATCCCATAGTTCCTCAAGTTGATATGGTTGCTTTCAAACCATTCATACTAGCTGAATAGGTGCTTCAACCACATAGGAGGCTCAGGAAGATGGTTTGGGTTTAGAAGATTTTTGAAGAGTATGCGAGATCGAAGACACATAGCTTTCTTTTGACACTGTGGCTGCTCTACACCATGCATTTTGGTTGAAGATGGTTGTGCTTTTTTTTTTTTTAATATTTGGGTTTGTTAAGTAGGTTTATGGTTTAGAGGTTTTTGTTCTTATATAGGTAGGTTTTGAAGGAATGATCCCCAGCTGCTTTTGCCATAGTCTAATTTTCATTCTATGGTGATAGCAGCTGGTGATAGCTGCTTTAAGATTTCATATACAACACACAGTGCTTCCCTTTTGCAATAGTCAGCCTTCTATTTGACATGTAACTTTATAGAGATATGTCCAATTTTGGAGTTAATAATAATGTATTTTGGAATTGAGCCCATCTCAATCTCAATTAAACTGTGGACGTTTTATTTCTAGCCTTTTTAGTCTGTAGAAATTTTGCCAAAAATTTACCAACTAGGTTTTTGTTTTCGGGCTTCTTTTTTTCTCCTTCCTTGGAAGTTCTAACATTGAGTTTGGATGTGCTTTGATTGTTGGAAAACTTTGTTCTTTACCTGCTCGCAAAACTTTTTACTTTATTGTTAACTGTAAATGAAAGAACAAAATAACAACTTAAAGATTGCATAAACACGTAATTAAACTAAAATAAAACTATTTGGGCTATATTCTTATAAAGTTTAATTTCAAATCCCTTCATTTGATTGGAAACTCCCACAGCTTCTGTGAACTTAGATAGATATTTTTGAGTTTGTTTTATGGTGGGTCACCAAAGCTCAACAATGGTTGTTTACCTATGCCATTTTCTTGGTATAGAAATAGTGATTTTCAGATTGAAGGCATAATTTCATCTCTATAATTTGACCCAAAGCTCAACAATGGTTGTTTGCCTATGCCATTTTCTTGGTATAGAAACATAGATTTTCAGGTTGAAAGCATAATTTCATCTCTCTAATTGATAATTTATTTTTAAGACAGGAAGGATTGAGATTACAATTATATTAATAATTTATTAAATATAATTAATAATTAATAATTTATTAAATAGTATTAAAATTACAATTAAATTTTAATTTCAACATTATTTACACCGTGCTTGTCGAAACGGACTTACGCTAATTTATAAATATGATTTAGAATTACGATTTATTTGTAATATTTATTTATTTCTGTATGGTCGTGATCGTCAATAACGAGGGGCCACATCTTTGTAGCACAAATGGTCCTACAGAAACCAATCGCTGTATTCAAAACCCTACCAAACCCTTCTCTCTCTCTCTCTCTCTCTCCAATGGCTTCTTCGGTGAACAACATCGCAGCCACATTCGCAACGGTCCCAATAACATCGTCTTCATCATCACCTTCATCAACCAATTATTCATCGAATCAGACGGCCTTCGCTCATCCAATCTCACCCAAACCCATCTCCATTTCATGGAACCCCCACTCCTCCCTTCCTTCCTCCCACAAATCCTCCCTCCTTCACCTCTACGGCCCCCCCGGCCCCCCTCCACCACTCTCCGCCGCCCATCGCCGCCGCCGCAAAATCAACCACCACCACCTCCCTCCTCCCACTTATCTCCTCCCAAATCTAACCTTCTCTTTCTTGGATCGAAACCACAAGCTTCAAACCACGAATCTCTCCATCCTTTCCAAATCGAAGAGGCTCCTTCTCGTCGGAGTCTCGGCCGCGTTCTCGCCGATCTGCGCGCGGTTCGTCAAAAGCGTAGTCGACTCGGCAAAGTCGAAGCTGGCGGATTTGATCGCGTGCGTCGCGGTCAACAACGTGTTCGTCATGAAAGCCTGGGGTGAAGATCTGGCCGTTGGTGAGAACGTGATGATGTTGTCTGATGGGGCCGGGGATTTAGCAAGGGCCCTTCGAGTGCCGTTGGATTCGAGTGGTGGGGACTGTTTGGGGTTAGGTGTACGGTCAAGGAGGTTTTGGTTGTCTGCTTTGAACGGCGTGGTTACTAGCCTGAGCGTGGACTCTAGTGATGGTGATGACGTCGTATCTCCTGAAATGAACGGTGATGTGAGAATTTTATGTTGACGTGGCAGTAATAAATTGGTGTGTGTCAGTTTTGCCCCCACAGTCTGGTACGAGCATTATTTTAGTATGACTTTAAGAAAGGTTGAGTGCAATGCAAGTTGGGTGGGGCTAATTTTGTAATTTGAACTATAATATCCAATTGGGTATTTTAGAAATTCTATTTACATATATTGAAATTTTAATTATACCCACCTTGTTGATGATAACACTTGTATTTTAAGAATAAATTATTGTAAAAAAAAAACAAGGGTGAATTAGCTCCTTTTAAGTATTATTATTTTTTCACTCTGATTTTGAAAGTATTTTTTTTTCCACTTTGATTCTTAATGTTTATAATTCTTCTCAATTTACTCTAAACACTAATAACAACCATCTAACTTTTTAACAAAAGTGCCATATTAATTATCACTTGACATAAAAAAAGTTATTATATAAAATTTAATCCAAAATCCATACCTAAAACCCAAACTCAAACTCAATCTAAAACCCAAAAACTAAAATTAGGGTTCTGAAGAGTTAAAAAGTCAAAAGTTATGGTTATGGTGTGCAACTTACACCTTACACCTTATACCTTACATTTACCCCTTACACTTACACCTTTTGTAAAAAAATAAACCTTACACTTACACAT